AATGGGTCAGTTCTTCCAAATGCAAAGAAACCATGACCAGAACTTGATGCAGCAGAAGAATAATGAGCTTGTTGAGTTTGTTGATTCTGTATGGCAGGAACTGATGTGGTCTGAGGTTGAACATAGTTCGACTTGCCTTTTCCATCTCCTGGCTTTCCTCCTTTGCCATCATCATCCTTGCCTTTCTTGCCTTTCTTTCCTTTTCCTTTTCCTTTTCCTTTCCTCTGGAAGTATCCATACTCATCCATGTAGTATGAATCATCATAGGCCCAATAGCCTTCATTCCAGGTTTGATCATCGGCCCAATAGCCGTCATAGTTTTCATTCCATTCATCTTCTTGCCAATCTTCTTCATAACCTTCTTCACTCACCATGTGAGAGCGGCCTTTCCTTCTTCCTTTTCCTCGGCCTTTTCCTTTTCTTGATCTGAAGAACCTTCGTCCTCCTCTACCTTTTCCTTTTCCTTTTCTCTTTCCTTTACCTTTGCCTCGTCTGATGTATTTGCCTTGGAACCTTCTCTGATACCATGTGAAGTTGGCGTCATCATAAACCCAGAAGACATCTTCTAAAGCATCCAGGAATCCTTCTGCGCCGTCTTCTTCATCCTCGGCCCAATAGCCGTCGGTTCCTTCTAATTCACCTTCATCCAGTACGAGGAAAGATCTTCTCTGCGCCATGCCAGAGGGTTGCATCAATGGATTGTCAACTGCTGTTTTGGTAGTGCAAAACATTTCCAAAAACAGGTCACGTAGTTCTTGAATGTTGTATTGATCGAGGGTTCGTCCACGATGTGTCATGATACTTGTGAGTGTATTTCTCTGATCTTGACTCAGGTCAGCTAGACTTACAAAAATCAATGCTAGCAAATTTTCACCCAGTGGGAATGCTTGTCTTTGTACTTGTCTACGCTGCTCATTGTACTGTTTGAATGCCACTAATGCCAGTTCATCTGACCAAGGAACAGGTACGTGAGGGGCTGCTCCTGAGGCTGCTGCTACATCAGCTCTTTCTTGTTGATCTCGATCATGTTCTTGACGTTTTTGCTGAACAAACAGGATTGCTTCAGGACTAGTCACTGTAGCTTCTGGAAGTAAATCCATCCAAGACTCAATAAGTCTATTGCCAGTGAGTTGAAATCTAGTCATCCACTTCTGAAGATCCATGGTTCCTCTGTTGAACTTCATGAACTGCATGAAACGGTATAAGAACACGTTCTGGGCACCTTTGATGAAATGAGGTCGTAGAAATCTTTTGAAATACGCTACTCCTTCATAGGGATCCCTGAGCATTTCTCTATCCAATAGTCTCTTGTATTGTTGAGCATCTCCTTCCAGTCTATTGCGCAATGCTGGACCACGTTTCTCTGGTTCTAACTCCGTAATGTCACACCAGTCATCAATTGCATCTTCGAAAGCAAAGAAGCTGGTTCTCCCATCATATGCTGGAGCTACCTTTGTGGTCATTTGTTGCGTCATATGAATCTGTGTCTGCTGGGGTGCTCTTCTCATTGCATAAGAGTCATATTGGTTCCATTCATTTGCATCGACAATGTCGAAGTCATCATCATCATAGCCATGGCTTGCCATTGCTTGGGCTCTACCTGGAGCTCACCCTCAATGAGGGATCACTGCTCCGCTACCACTTGAAGAGGGGCCCTAGCGTCTACTTCAAGATCAGCTAAGGCGTCTTCCCCAATGACAGCACTCTTTTACTCAGCCTGTTGCCGGTCAGTGCTATGTCTACAGGGTTACTCTATATACCTCTTGAGCCTTGAAGGGCGCATATAAATGTGCTCAATACTCATGCATGTACCTCTGTAGGTATTAGGTCGAAACAAAAACAAGGGCGCAGCGCCTCCCCCCGCAATGCGTACCAAGAGAGAAGCACATAGGCACAAGTCTCAATGGATATATTGCAAGTAAGAACGAGAAGATCAAAAAAGAAGCACATAGGCACAAGTCTCGATGGATATCAGCAAAGATGAAATTAACCCAAATAAACGATGATGCTTATGCAAAAAGAAAGGAATAGTAGGTATAGCAAGGGGAACCGGTAAAAGCGGGTGGGGGGGTGCAGGGGGGAGGGCGCAGCGCCTCCCCCCGCAATGCGTACCAAGAGAGAAGCACATAGGCACAAGTCTCAATGGATATATTGCAAGTAAGAACGAGAAGATCAAAAAAGAAGCACACAGGCACAAGTCTCGATGGATATCAGCAAAGATGAAATTAACCCAAATAAACGATGATGCTTATGCAAAAAAAAAGGAATAGTAGGTATAGCAAGGGGAACCGGTTTAAAAATAAAAGCGGGTGGGGGGGTGCAGGGGGGAGGGCGCAGCGCCTCCCCCCGCAATGCGTACCAAGAGAGAAGCACATAGGCACAAGTCTCAATGGATATATTGCAAGTAAGAACGAGAAGATCAAGAAAGAGGCACATAGGCAGAGGTCTCGATGGATATCAACAAAGATGAAATTAACCCAAATAAACGATGATGTTTATGCAAAAAGAAAGGAATAGTAGGTAGCAAGGGGAACCGGTTTAAAAATAAAAGCGGGTGGGGGGGTGCAGGGGGGAGGGCGCAGCGCCTCCCCCCGCAATGCGTACCAAGAGCGAAGCACATAGGCACAAGTCTCAATGGATATATTGCAAGTAAGAACGGCAAGATCAAGAAAGAAGCACATAGGCACAAGTCTCGATGGATATTTTGAAAGAAGAAGAAAGAGAAAATGAACCCTAAGAAACGATGCTTATGAGCAAAAGGCAAGAGAGTAGGTAGCAAGGGAAGCTGATGGAAAAACAAAAGCGGGTGGGGGGGGTCCCCTGCAATGCGTACCAAGAAAGAACATGAAAGAAGTACATAGGCACAAGTCGCGATGGAGATCAATGAAGATGAAATGAACGCAAATAACCGATGATAAGTGTTGACTGCACACATGGTCCTTCCTTCCTTCCTTCCTTCCTTCCTTCCTTCCTTCCTTCCTTCCTTCCTTCCTTCCTTCCTTCCCTTCGTTCCCCCCTTGCATCCTTCCCTCCTTCCCTCCTTCCCTCCTTCCTCCTTCCCTCTTTCCTCCTTCCCTCCTTTCCTCCTTCCCTCCTTTCCAACTTCCCTCCTTTCCTCCTTCCCTCCTTTCCTCCTTCCCTCCTTCCTTCCTTCCTTCCCTCCTTCCCTCCTTCCTTCCTTCCCTCCTTCCCTCCTTTCCTCCTTCCCTCCTTATTTCCTTTCTTCCTTCCTTCCTTCCTTCCTTCCTGCCTGCCTGCCTTCCTTCCTTCCTTCCTTCCCTCCCTTTCTCCTTTCCTCCTTCCCTCCTTATTTCCTTTCTTCCTTCCTTCCTTCCTTCCTTCCTTCCTGCCTGCCTGCCTTCCTTCCTTCCTTCCCTCCCTTTCTCCTTTCCTCCTTCCCTCCTTCCCTCCTTTCCTCCTTCCCTCCTTTCCTCCTTCCCTCCTTTCCTCCTTCCCTCCTTCCTTCCTTCCTTCCCTCCTTCCCTCCTTCCCTCCTTCCTTCCTTCCTTCCCTCCTTCCCTCCTTCCCTCCTTTCCTCCTTCCCCCCTTTCTTCATGGTCATTTATTTTTTTTGATGCATTTATATTTTTTTTGATGCATTTTATTTTTTTTGATGCTTCTCCCGATCGTTCCCAAAGAGGACCAAAAACCCTTTTCACCACGCCATTTGGTAGAAGATACCACTGTGACCGTGAATGTCATGGTCTTAGACATGCCAAGGAAGTTTGTCTGACGCCACGATGTCACAGATGTGGCCCACAGTCAGACGTTCCCCAACATAGGCTGTATGCGATCTCACATGGATATGCACTTCATGTTGATTATGAGCATTGTCGTGATGCGGGATCCAATGGTCCACTTCGGGCCTTCAATCCATGTGCGATTTGCTGCACTGCAGATGATAGACTTGTTATGACTTGTTTAGAGGGCTTGAGCTGAATATGTGGTCAGTGGAACTGATCACATAGGGGGAGTGCGTGTAAGAATTCCATGCATCCCTATTTACCCAATTCTCAAATGGAAATACTTCCACTTTTGCTTTGACTTCAACCCACCGGGTGTTGTCCAGACTTCAACTCACCGGGTGTTGTCTAGGAATCCTGAAGAACATGCATCTGGGCCGGACCGAAGCCTTTTAGATGTCAAGCGGCACAAAGGTGCGTCAGCTAGCAGCGAGGTGGCTGCTTGGAGTTTTGGGGAAACTTGGTTTTGTTCTTTGGGTTGAAACATTTCTTTTCCGGTTGGAGTCGGGATCTCAGTTGCTGTTCAGGGTTCCAGGACGGTTCACTTGTTGGCATTGGGAGGCTTCAGGAAACACAGAAACCATGGAAACCGTGCAAACTATGAAAGCCGTACAGAAATCTTGGACAACAGGGAAACCATGGAAACTGCAGTCAAATCATGGAAACCATGGAAACCATGGAAACCGCCAAGAAATCATGGAAACCATGGAAACCATGGAAACCGCAAAGAAATCATGAAAACCATGGAAACCGCAGACAAATCATGGAAAGCCTTGAAAACCATGGAAACCGCAGACAAATCATGGAAACCATGGAAACCATGGAAACCGCAAAGAGATCATAGAAACCATGGAAACCGCAGAGAAATCATGGAAACCATGGAAAACCATGGAAACCGCCAAGAAATCATGGAAACCATGGAAACCGCACAGACATCATGGAAACCATGGAAACCATGGAAACCGCAGGAAGAAATCATGAAAACCATGGAAACCGCAGACAAATCATGGAAACCATGGAAACCATGGAAACCGCAAAGAAATCATGGAAACCATGGAAACCGCAAAGAAATCATGGAAACCATGGAAACCATGGAAACCGCAAAGAGATCATGGAAACCACAAAAGCCATGGAAACCGCAAAGAAAGTATGGAAACCATGGAAACCACACAGATTTCATGGAAACCATAAAAAACCATGGAAAACCGCAGAGAAAAATAGAAACCATGGAAACCATGGCACAGAGTGTGTCGCGTTTCAAAATGAGTAATAAAGTCGCGTTTCAAATTGAGTATTATCCCGCGTTCTAAAACGAAACCTTCCCCAAAGTATTGCCTCTTGGTTCTTGTCTTCTCCGCTGCAGCGCATCTGAACTTCAGGTTGTCTTTCCTCCAAAGCTTCTCCAAGCTGCTGAAGCAACTCCGGCCAGCATTCTTGTAAGCACAATATTCGGAAATCGTTCTGTAGCATCTCTTCGATCTTCTCAATGATCTTGCTCTCTCTTGTACCAGCTTCATGCTGCATTGTTATTTTCGAGCCTTTGAGTCCTTGTGTGTCTTTATCTATGTATTTATAATAGTTCCGGTTCAGAACATTCCAGGAAGCAACCTTGATGGAGTTCTCACAGAGTTTGAGCATAGCTGCAATGGGAGGGTGGTCTGATGGAAACGTCCAGAGCTTGCCGAGTGGTTTGGCCAATGGAACTTCGAAAGAACCCAATTTTCCGATCAAGACGGTCTCAACGCAGCTTTCCAACAACAGCTGTGCTTTTCGCAGGGTACGTAACATGTCCTTCTCTTTCGCAGCTTCTGGTGGCGATTCTGGTAGCAGCTCCGGGATGTACTCCATTGCTTTTGCAATGCTGTCGCGCCCATCTTCTGCAGCCTGCTTCTCTGACTCATCAATGTTGTGAAGCCGAGACTTCAATCTGCTCAAGTTCTGACCTCTAAAACATCAAGCAACGATCCACTGCACATTATCAAGAATGCATCAGAATGCAAAATTACATCGTCTTTGCCAAAGGGGAAACAACAAACACTTTATTATACATTATGCACAAACAACTCATGCTGCTGTGCGGCGAAGTATGGGCAGGTCGGCACATGCATGTTCAAACAACTCGTGGGAAGACTGCATCATGTTGATGATGGTCTCGACATGCGCCGCAACTTGATTGAGTTCAGCGACCCAGTGACCAAGCAGCGGGCGGAGAGCCTCCAAAATGCTCAAGTTCCACTCCAAGTCAAATCCTCGCTCCGCTAAATAGGCACTTCTCTCCCAAAGGCGCTTGACGTACTTCATTGCATTGGGTTCCTCGCCTGAAAACTTCGCCAAATTCTTCTCAACTGACTGCAAAAAATCCTTCTCGTCGCTGATCGGCTGGATAGGTTGAGGCCCTTTGAACCAACCAGCTCGCAGGACATTGGTAACCTCGAAATAGCGAGGTGTCTCTTCGGAATCCTCAAAAAGTTTCACTTTTGCAAACATGTCAAGCTTGGCAGTCCAAGTATGATGACCTTCTCCCAAAGCTTTTTTCAAAGCTTCTGTATCTTCTGTTGACGAGCACAAAATGTTTTGTTGCGTCCAACTCAGGTATTCTTTTTTTGCACCGCTACATTCAGACGTGGGCTCAAAACCTGCTTTGAATCCACCGAAAAACACTTCCACACCACCTGCCCCAGTGATATTCCCATATTGCGTCTGAATGGTCCTGCAAAGTTCTGTCAGGGCCTCATCTCGACTGTTGGCATCTATGGCCAAATACTCTTCCAGGTCAACATCACCAGGATATTTCATAGCCTTGAAACGGAAGCTGCCCGCAGGTCGTGTGTGCCTTCCAAAAATGGCAGCCCTTTGCACAACAGAGCGGAGTGCACTGTCCAAGTCGGGTAGGAAACGCTCTTCCAATAAGGCCCGGAGTCTACAGAGAGAGCATGTTTGCTGACATCCCACAGTCATGCAAAGTGCTGAAACAATTTTGCCTTCAAAATCATCGTTCTCTTTTGGGACAGCTTTCAACTGAAAAAAGGAGGCAGGATCTGTTTCACATCCAGGATTGAAGCCAAAAATATCTTTCTCTAGCAAATGTTTCACCTTTTGGGCAACTTCTTCGTATTTCAGTTCGTTGCCTCCCTGAACAACGATTCGCAATACACTCTTGGAGCTTCTGCGCAAACTGACTGGAAATACAGATACTGACACTGAACAAGTGCCTGCATGAAAGTGCCCGCGATTCCGGAAGACTTGGGGCGGTCCTGGTTTCCATGTGCTTTCAGGCTCGTTCTTGATCTGGCAACTGTACATCTTCTGCGCCAACGCCGGGAAGAAATTCGGGGACAAAAGACCACCGACATCAAGGTACAAGACTTTGCCTGCCTCTCTTACGACCTCTTCTGCGCTGTGTGCAACGGGTAAACAACTTGGAAGAACGAACTCATCCTGAACAAGTCGCTCGAACATCAGGTGTTTTTCCAGCAAGATCTGCCGTATCAGCTCTTGCTGGCTCTCCTCAGGAAACTCCTTGCGATTGCAGGCACAAATCCCTCCAGCTCAACGCACGTTGCACAACTCACCATGTTCCAAAATAAAATAAAAGGAAGAAACCAAATGGACACAAACACTGCAACGCGCGAAACTTGCGGGCAAAATGAAACGCCATCAAGTTACCGCAACTGGTTCAAACTAATGACGCCATGAGCACAACTCCAACCACTAGACTCCAACTCACACGAGTCCTATACACACCTGCACAAACTTTCGCCTATCCTACCCGCCGTTCACCAAAGCTTTGCTGGAGCTTTGCGAACAGGAAGTTCAAAAACGGCATCGATAAGGCTATCTCAGGCAGATGTGAAGGAATCAAATGGAACAAACTTCTACATGAAAAGAACTGCGCACCTAAATTCTATGGCAAGCCCTGTTTTATCCTCAGGTGGCTGGTTTTTGGCCCTCTAGCAGTGTTTGAGTAAAGGACAACGGGATGCTACTAGTGTGTTGACAGCAGCATAGGGCCTTTTGGAGGTGGTTGGAAGCCAAAATAGCCCCCATAGGATCCATAGGCTATAGGCTTTGAGATTTCCTGGTAGAGTATCTCTACTGTACATATCTTCACATTTGATACCCGCAACACCAAGCTGATTTCTCAACAGGCTGACCAAAATCCGTGCCAAGGCTCCTAGGGCATGAATTTATCAGGCCTTTAGCCTTCTCTGTGTTTCCCTCGAGGATTACCCTGCCTGTTTACTACTGTAACTTGCGACAGTTTCCCAATTTATTTTGACCATTGTGCAACACAAGACACAAGGTTTGAAAGCACTTGGACCCTGGGGTCCTCTTTCCAAAGTCCTCTGATCAACTTGCGCGTTGCGATCCCTGTTGACTGGAATCGAAGAAGGTCACTACGATGTTCAGTGATTTTGCGCTCAATCATCATCATATCTCTGTGTTCAAAGTTCTCCTGGCCAAAGCAAATGGTCATTAATGATGCCATTGCAACTGCAACTCGACGTGGATTTAGCAGCACAAGGTTTCGAAGCTCGGGCTGGTCCATCCACACTAAAGTGCCTAACAGGTTCAGCAACCTCAAAACTGTCTCGGCGTCGTCGTTGGACAAGCCTGTAGGCTGCATGCTCTTGAGAAACTGTTGAACTACTTCCAGCTCCAGAAAGTCACAGGAGACGTGCAAGTTCAGCGGGATGCCTCCGGCACCCACAAAAGCTCTGCCCTCAATTTTGATGGAAGATCCCCTTGGCACAATCAGCCAACTCTTGTCTGAGAGGGTTACCCGCAGATTCGACGCAATCTCAAGTTTGCGCCCTGATTTGAGTTCCGCATCTGGCGCAACCTTCTTAACTTCAACCATCGGAGCTGTGGCCCTGACGGGGTACGGAGAATGCATGGCACGGATGGTGAACTCACACAAGTTCATTCCTGCATGCTGCCATGACTTTACCACGGTCACGCGCGGATTCGGAAACTAAAACCGCGGATTCGGAAAGTAAGATTCAGAAACTTCGGAAACTAAGATTCGGAAACTATAAATGCACAGATTCGGAAACTAAAAGCGCGGATTCGGAAACTAAAAACACGGATTTGGAAACTAAAGCCGCGGATTCGGGAACTAACACACACTCGGATTCGGAAACCAAGATTCGGAAACTGAAACCGCGGATTCAGAAACAAAGATTCGGATAGATTCGGAAACTAAATGCACAGATTCAGAAACTAAAAGCGCGGATTCGGAAACTAAAAAACTGAAACCGCGGATTCAGAAACAAAGATTCGGATATATTCGGAAACTAAAAGCGCGAATTCGGAAACTAAGACTGCAGATTCGGAAACTAATTGTGCAACACAATGGACTGCCCAAGTCAATTTGAAGTTCCATGGGGGTGAGAATTTTGATATCATCTGATCCACGTGACAGTCCAAGTCAATTTGAAGTTCCATGGGGGTGTGAATTTTGATATCATCTTGTCCTTGTGGACAGTCCAAGTCAATTTGAAGTTCCATGGGGGTGTGAATTTTGATATCATCTTGTCCTTGTGGACAGTCCAAGTCAATTTGAAGTTCCATGGGGGTGAGAATTTTAATATCATCTTATCCTTGTGGACAGTCCAAGTCAATTTGAAGTTCCATGAGGGTGGGAATTTTGATATCATCTTATCCTCGTGACAGCCCAAGTCAATTTGAAGTTCCATGGGGGTGGGAATTTTGATATCATCTTATCCTCGTGGACAGTCCAAGTCAATTTGAAGTTCCATGGGGGTTGGGAATTTTGATATCATCTTGTCCTTGTGGATGGTCCAAGTCAATTTGAAGTTCCATGGGGGTGGGAATTTTGATATCATCTTATCCTTGTGGACAGTCCAAGCCAATTTGAAGTTCCATGGGGGTGGGAATTTTGATATCATCTGATCCTCGTGACAGTCCAAGTCAATTTGAAGTTCCATGGGGGTGAGAATTTTGATATCATCTTATCCTTGTGGACAGTCCAAGTCAATTTGAAGTTCCATGGGGGTGGGAATTTTGATATCATCTTATCCTTGTGGACAGTCCAAGTCAAATTGAAGTTCCATGGGGGTGGGAATTTTGATATCATCTTATCCTTGTGGACAGTCCAAGTCAATTTGAAGTTCCATGGGGGTGGGAATTTTGATATCATCTTGTCCTTGTGGACAGTCCAAGTCAATTTGAAGTTCCATGGGGATGGGAATTTTGATATCATCTTGTCCTTGTGGATGGTCCAAGTCAATTTGAAGTTCCATGGGGGTGGGAATTTTGATATCATCTTGTCCTTGTGGACAGTCCAAGTCAATTTGAAGTTCCATGCGGGTGGAAATTTTGATATCATTCTCCTTAGTTTCTGAAGCTCGATAGTTTCTGAATCGCCATAGTTTCTGAATCGTGATGGTTTCTGAATCGTAGTTTCTGAATCGCGATCGTTTCTGAAGCGTAGTTTCTGAATCGCGATCGTTTCTGAATAGAGTTTCTGAATCGCGATACTTTCTGAAGCGCGATAGCTTCTGAATCGTGATCGTTTCTGAAGCGCGATACTTTCTGAATCGCGATATTAGTTTCTGAATCGTGCATTTCTGAAACGCGATCGTTTCTGAATCGTAGTTTCTGAATCGCGATAGTTTCTGAATCATAGTTTCTGAATCGTAGTTTCTGAATCGTGGTAGTTTCTGAATTGTAGTTTCTGAATCGCGATACTTTCTGAATCGCGATAGTTTCTGAATCGTGATGGTTTCTGAAGCGCGATAGTTTCTGAATCGCGATAGTTTCTGAATCGTAGTTCAAATTCGGTTGCACATGTGGTCCATGGAAAACAAAAAATGTAGCAACTGGGAATATCGTGCGAAAATCGTCTGGAAAAACCAAAGGTAAATAAAAAAGGGCAGGGAAGGTGTGAAGCCGCTCTGCCGAGAGAAAAGAAAATGCCCAGCATGAGTGAAACAGATGGGATGGAAAACATGCTAGGCACTACTCAGAAAGAAAGCACCGAAGGGCGAAGGAGCAAGGGTGCACTGCTGGCATCCAAGAGGAAAACCTGAGCCCTGCAGCGTGGCCAAAAGCAACTCAGACTAGGAGCCGAGAAGCCTGAATCGCGATAGGTTTGGAATCGGTGGAAATAGTTTCTGAATCGTAGTTTCTGAATCGCCGTTAGTTTCTGCATCGGCTTTCGACCACTTTACTATTGTCTACACAGAGTCTACACATAGAAAAATCCACAAATTCCACTATTCAACTTCTTCAACGCAACAAACAAAGTTCCAAACAGCCTGAAGCCGGATCCAAGGCGAGTCAGCAGATCATGGGCTTGCAACCAGGCCATCGGGTACAGCTTTGCCTGCACTCCCAATCCTGATACGGCATCATCATCGGCCTCCAAACTGTCACGTGGAGTGACGAATTGCAACGCCATGTGTTGCAGGTGCCGGCGCAAGGGGCGGATGAATTCCTCAGAACTGATTCCTTTGTTTTCGATGGGGAATAGCCAGAAACAGTTTCTGTCACGCAAACCATTCGGATGTAGCTGCAGCTGTTCCTTTAACCAGGGGACCTTTTCCTGCAGATCCTCAAGGCGCTTCTGCAGTTCAAACTCATCAAGTTTGCGTGGTTCCCCAGCTTTAGTCCCAAGAAGAAGAATAGGCGGTTTTGCGTTCTTCTTCTTTGAAAACATCCCGATGGCCCATAGCCAGAAACATATATGGCGCCATTCCTCATCCATCTTCCCAGTCATGTCGAAAAACACCAGGTAGATTGCCCTCTCGGAAAAAAATATTTGGTTCAGCAGTGCGTATTCTTCTTGTCCTGGGAAATCCCAGCACTGCAATCTCACCTCTACGCCGTCTTTTTCGCTTTTCTTGCTGGAAAGGATGTTGGAAATTGTATCATCATCCATGATCGTAGGCCCGCACGTCTCTGGTGGAAGGAGCGGAGCAGCATCATTCTTTTGCTTGACATGCACCGCTGCACGAGAGTATGCGGTCCCCGGATTCTCCACATCGGCCTCTGGTGCCTTCCGAAGAGCGTCCTCGCAACATGAAGGAAACAAGAGGAAGCTGTGGCAACATATCTTCTCGGTTTGAAACTTAATCAAAGCCTATTGAATCAAAACCTGCTGTGTCTACAGCTGCTTCTAAACTGCGCACAGGTCAGTCCTACTCTGCGCGTATCTAATCTAGGTTTAACTATGGCTTGTAGGGGTTATTTCCACGGGGCGTGTGACGGCATTACTTTCTACATGGAGCCGCATGCACAAATACGAATGAGTTTGATGCAGGCCCATTCCGCTTGTCTACTAATTGGCACAGGGATACATGTGGGGAAATAGCTGCGAAACTTTGAACTGTGAGCGTTTAGACCTTCATAGATTTTCTGGGGTGTCAATAGTGTCAATCTACCTCTTTTTTCCCCACCTGCCAGGTGAGGGTTGTTAGATTTTATGTCAGTTGCCTCCTCCTGCCTCCTCCTGCCTCCTGCCTCGTCCTCCTCCTCCTCTCCTCGTCGTCCTCTCGTCGTCCTCCTCGTCGTCCTCCTCGTCGTCCTCCTCGTCGTCCTCCTCGTCGTCCTCCTCGTCCAACTGCGACCCGCGATCCACAGTGTTCTCTGTCGGACCTCAACCACGACCATCCACGCCCAGTGTTCCCTGCCGGACCTCAACCACGACCATCCACGCCCAGTGTTCCCTGCCGGACCTCAACCACGACCATCCACGCCCAGTGTTCCCTGCCGGACCTCAACCGCGAGTATCCACGCCAAGTGTTCCCTGCCGGACCTCATGTAGGAAGATAATGTCAGAAAGATATGCCAGAAGATATGCCAGATAGACTGCCAAATAGAATGCCAGATAGAATGCCAGATAGAATGCCAGAAGATATGCCAGAAGATATGCCAGATAGAATGCCAGATAGTGCCAGAAAATATGCCAGATAGAATGCCAGAAAATATGCCAGATAGATATGCCAGAAGATATGCCAGAAGATATGCCAGAAGATATGCCAGAAGATATGTCAGAATATATGCCAGAAGATATGTCAGATAGAATGCCAGAAGATATGTCAGAATATATGCCAGAAGATATGCCAGATAGAATGCCAGAAGATATGCCAGATAGAATGCCAGAAGATATGTCAGATAGAGTGCCAGAAGATTTGCCAGATAGAATGCCAGAAGATTTGCCAGATAGAATGCCAGAAGATATGCCAGAAGATATGCCAGATCATATGCCAGAAGATATGCCAGATAGAATGCCACATAGAATGTCAGAAGATATGTCAGATAGAATGCCAGAAGATTTGCCAGTAAGAAAATGTATAAATGTCATGGTGGGGATCACACGAAGTAAAGTAATTTCTCAAAACGGCGAGTTCCAAATCACAAATGGCATTCGACCAGTTTTCAAGTTGGCATTGAAGGCTGTGATTGCCCCACACCAGTACCCCAGACAAAGATTTTGATACAAATTAATCTGCAAGCGAAGAACTCACAGAATCATGTGATCTGGTTGCCTGCTTGGAATTGTCGTTGCCAACGATTCTGAAAACCACGAAAGGGTTGCTTGCCATATGGGACATGAACAACTTTGGATTCGCTGAGTGAATCCAATGTGATATGCACATGCAAACACGTCCTTGACAGCAGTATGGTGCACGGATTCCTTCCATTCCTTCCACGGGCCAGCTGCGCTTCCGTCTGCTTGTAGATGGGCTTCAGCTTGGCCGGCCCAAACATCTAGACCATGGGTGGATGGCTCTTCGTCTCGAAATGGTTCACCTTTGAGCCGCCTCGCGGGGTCTTGGCGCTACCCCCCAAAACAGCCAGCACCATGAGTCACGATTTATCTACGTCTTTCATGCGCCTGCCTTAGAGTTGTCGTTTTCCCTGCGCGACCTCGACCGACGAAGCAAAGGCGCACCACCGGCAACGGGGCTGCTCCTTCTTTCTGCTTTTCCACTGCGAGTTCCCGCAAACGCTCAAGTTCTTCCGGTGAAACCTGCCGGTCTGCAGCGAATCTTGAACAGGACCGGTCAGTAGCACAAAAGGCCAATAATTGCTGGTAAGAAAAGGCATTGTCATTGTTACCAGCATCTGTACAAACAATCCCTAAAAATGCTACGCAAAGAAGTTCAATTTCAAGCAAACCTCCAGGGTTTTGAGGACGAATGAAACAGTGCCCAATGAAGTGATGGCGTGTTGAAAGATAAACTTCTGGAAGGACAAACTATAGTGCACAACCTGAATTGACAAAGTGGAAGCAAAAGTGCCCTGATTAGAAAAAGCAAGGCCTAAGGCGCAACAACGCTTTTTCAAACCTAATTTACCTTATGTGACACTGTACTCGATGTGCCGTGGCATGTCCAGAACATTTCAGGACCATTTCCAGGTTAAATCCAGGAGAAATTCAGCACAAATTCCAGATTTTGGTATTGCCCGTAGGACGTAGGAAAATATTCCATTTTCTTGAAATTACTTCTGCCTAAACAGAACTCTGCCCATTTTCCCCAGGCTTTGGAGATTTATCTTTGGATGATATGGGATGGAATCCGAAGGCCAAGATGAAAGGAATTGTCATGAAATTATCTTGGAATACACTGGATCAGTTTTTTGGATACATGAGTTTGGAGAATCTGAGAATACACCTACTCAGACTGCTCAAACACCGCAGAAGTTTTGCTAGGAATTGAAGCCCGACGCTAATCCGGAGTAACAAAATCTGATCCCTGACGCCGATTCGGTGATACGGACATTACTCCATCCGCCAGAGGGTGTTGCGGACGTCAGAAAGTGAAGGATAAAGGAGGAGCAGTGAGATAAAATCTAGGATCTAGAGGTCCTCACCTGACTGATGGGAACACATGACATGAGGGTTGTCCTGTTTCTTCAATTTAAAAACTGCATTTGGGCCGGCATTCAGCAAACCATGACTTGTGCCTATCTTGGGCACCCACACCCCCACTTCTAAATGTCTAACTGTTCACCTCTTTTTTGTGCAAAAGTTGTCGCGCACCATTTGCATGCGTGCTTTCCCCACACCTCTGAGTCATCGTCCCAAAATACTTGTTGCAGCTTCCCGTCAGTACTTTGGACATCTTCTACTGAGGATTTCTTCCCATAACAACTTCTTCTGTCCATGCAACAAAGGGATGAGCCACCTCCGGAAAAGGCAAGGGTTACATGTAGAATCTGCCGCGAATCTCGCACGCAGGCTTTATCGCTCAAATCCTACAGTAAGTTGGCAAGATAGCACAACGTATCCCTACCATATTTTTTTCTCAGCGCAGACCTTGGGCCGGCTTTGTGCAAATCCTGCGTGATGATGATTTTGAGCTACTTACAAGCTGCTCCAACATGTACCCTTTTCTGTATATATGACACAAAAAGGGGGACAAACAGGGGGCCAACCAGTTTGAACTCCTTAACATCACAATCCAAGCCGCGACCTATTTTGCTACGCGACTTGAGCCAAAATGGTCGTTAGGCATTAATTAACCCTAGCTCTACACATGGCTACTACCCCATTAGGTTAACGCATCTAACCTTGGGGTTATTTACATTGAAATGGCTGTACAATACATTGGATGGTTGGTCAAATAGCTACAGCATGGAGTGAACTATTACTAGTATATACGGTGGTGGTATAGGGGTCGTAATATTTCTACTCCCCCCTACCCTATCCTACGCTGGCAACTAGTGTACAGGTTAGGGCGCTAGGTAGCTGCCCCTTCCCTGGATTTAAGTTCACTACCTAGATCTACCCTAATGCCTAGTAAGCGCAGTGCCGGGGCCCACTTTTGGGGTGGCAACGCCTTGGTGAAGATGTCCGCAGCTTGGTTGTCGGTTTGACAATATTCAAGCTCGGCTGAGTCTCTCTGAGGACTTCGGAAGGCCCGGACAAGTTTACCTTATGGGTGCGAGTGATATGCCTAAGCTTAGGGGAATAACCTTTACACACTACCAGGATGGTAGCTTGGTAAAGGGAATAGGCCAAGGAAACCACTTCTGATTCTGTGGTAGAACGGGATGTGGATGTTTGGCGTTTACTGACCCACGCAAGAGGGAAGAAGGAGTTAGGCCCATATAGAACTAAATACCCACCGGACGTGGACTTTCCACTAAGACGATCACCGGCGAAGTCGGCGTCTACGTATAAACGTAGCTCAAGATCTTCTGGATTATCTTTAATGGTACCTACGAGCCGGTACTGGGGTGTAGAGTCTATGTATTGAATGAGTCTTAACAACCTCTTATCGTCCCCCCTGGACCAAGACTGCACTTTAGTGGCTAAATCGTTGATGGGTTTAATAATGTCAGGTCTGGACAGCCGACCAAGCCACAACGCCTTCATGAGAATGCGGCATGCGTTGGGTGCCAGTTCACCTTTAGCCTCTTCATCTTCAACGGAGACAGAACCCTCAGGTACAAAAGGAGTGGCAGCATGCTTCAAACTTTTGGTGTTGGTGATGGACTTATAAAGGTCAACTGTTTGGTGCGCATAAGCTAGCATGTCAAAGACTAAGGCTTCTTGTGCGCGAAACGCAGCACATTCCTCGGAACCCTCGGTTCTGGACAATGGCATTACTAGATGATTGCGACCTAAAATTCGGTATATTGGTTCAGGCGGTTCTATATCCGCAACGGATGTCAGCTTCGCCCAAAAGGCATCATGTTGGTCTGAGGGACCAGCAAGTGTGAGATCATCTACATAGGTGGATAGCAACAACTTAGTATCTGGGAAAAAGAAGTTACCAGGGTACTCGGGTACCTCTTGGCCACCTAAGTTGCGGATAATTTTCTTAAGGTGTTGCTCCCAAAGACCACCGGCATCAGGATGGCCGTGTAAGGCTTTAACTAGGAGGACTACGGGTTTAACAAACTTATCTCGCCAGTGTTTTGGCCTTAGCTCAGGCGGAAGTTCTATCCATGTCTTATATTTGGAAGACAGGAGTGCTTGAACGTATGCCTTAACAGCGTCAGCTGCGGAAGAGCTATTACCTGGCACGGAACCGTATGCTAAACAGGCATTTAAACCTTGGACCGAAGTTGGATTTGCTCCTAGTTCCTGATACACAGCAGCGGCACCGTGCTCATCTTTCGCACAGTCTTCACGGTAGACTATTCTACCTTTCATCTTCTGAAGATGTTGTGCGAGTTCAAAGAACTTGATGATGCAATGGTCATTAGCTGTCCGAAGTGGACAGAGACTCCGGTGCGCTTTGCCTCTGCACGGACGTCTTCTTTCTCCCTCACCGAGTCGAGCGACCACGTCCCAGCTTTGATGAGTCCATCAGCTTCAGCTTTGACTGCATCAAGTGCTTGTGGATTTGACAACATCTCCGCTCTGGAGAGCAACTTAGTTACCATGGCTTTAACCTCTTGGGAGGGTTGATTGCTATCTTCGTGCCCGAAGGCCTGTGACAACAAACGCTCATGGTCAAGGAGCTCTGCCACTAAACCGTTTCTGTTGGATCTGTCTCAACGGCAACTGCCAGATCCTCAAAGCCAGCTAGTGGGGAAACGTGTTTAAGATGTTGTTCAACTTCGCGATGCTCTTGTGGTTCGGTTGAAAGTGGAGTGCATGGCATGGCGGGAGCATGCTGTTGAGAACACTTAGCAGGGTACAGCGCTTGGGTAATCAAAAATGTCATCTCTGGGGGATACATAGCTGATCGCGCTGTTTCCGAACCTTCACACTTTTCATGTGGTTGTTCACAACTGCACTTTTTATCTTTAAAAACATCTACTATTCTTTCGGAAGTGGTTCGGACTCTCCAAGGCTTTTTGATGGGAACACCCTTCTTGGATCTAAGACCTACTGCACATCCATCGAAGAAATCAACTTCCATAAACTCAGGGTGTGAATTAAAGAAAGCTACGACATCTGGTCTCTTCCAGCCAGTTGAGGGACGTGGCCATTCGAAAGAAACAGTGCCTCCTAGTTTCAAAACTAATTCAGCCCTTTTGGTAAAGCTTTTGAAAAGTCGTTTCGATTCACGAAGTTGGAGCGCTAATCTTTTCATGTAAGCAGCTCCTCCCTTGTTTCTATTGATATACTGCCAAGGAGAACCAGACGTGCATGGGATGGACGACCAAAGGTTGGGTGGTGCAACTTTTGCGGCTTCACCTATTTGATAATCAAGTTGGGAACATTGATTCTCATCACCTAAGTCTATCCTTTCCTTGCTTAACCCAATGTGATTTATATTGCATTGAACGCTTGTCAACCCGAGTTGTGAGTTGAGGGAGCATGCAAACTCAAACAGTGTTGATCTCTCACTGGGCCTCTCGCTTTTCTTCAAGGCACGTCGTTTTCGACGGTTGTTATTATTCTTAGGAGGCTGATTAATGGCGCGGCATGCAGGCACGGCTGTGCACCGAACACTGGCAAGGAATCCCTACATAACTCAGCGCAACTGGGAGCAGTCTGGGGCAAAGTGGCAGCACCAGATACGCTATAAGGAACAGCAATTGTGATTTCACCTTCATCATCAAATATGCTGTCCACTGGTGGTGGTTCCACGGGGGCATCCTCAAGTGCACTAGGAACTTCACTTGGAGGTTCAACAACTACCGACTCTGAGACAGGTTTGGACTTGGCTTCCAGCTCCTTTTCTTCATCTACAAGTTTCTGGAACCGTTTGCGGCACTCTGCAGTGTGGTACCGAGTCTTATTCTTACACCCTGTACAACCGGGAGTTTCCTTAAACTCTATGATGCGGTCTAAGTTGATATAAACCGATCTAGGTTTGGGACCGGGTGTAGATGGGGAAGCTAAACCGCCGTCAGGTGGAAACGGAACATTTTGCAGGGCTATCTCAGGCACCTTAACATCATCGGGATTGTCCCCCCTTACCAAGGCCTGATGCTTCGAAAAACCAACAGGAAAATAGGCTTCACCATCTGGAAGGTACAATTCAGGCTCGGGTACATCGGAAACACATGAAGCACCTCTAGTTCGAAACTCTTGATAATCTAATATCCGAACAACATATCTATAACGAAAACCAGAATCGATTCGCCAACCAAGAAACAAACCAGGAGCCATATTGGGTTCTAAGGTCCTTTTTGTTGAATGCTTCTTGCGAAAATACACAAGTTGACCAAAACACAAACGCTTACCATCGAACTTTTCACGTGTAAGAGCTTCCCATTGGGTCTTCTCGGGATCCGCAATAGAAGGTCTATCAAAAGTCATGGAAAGACATGCGTATGGGTAACTGTAAGTGTGATACTCATAAGGCAAACCAGATTGTAAATGAATTACCCTACAGCACTCTTTCTCTTCCCGGATGTCGCGCTCTAGGAGAGCGTTGTGCGGCCAACGGTTGGGAAGGGACGTCTCAGGAACGAAGCCGACCTGGTGGGCAGCCTGCTCCAATTCCTGTGCTTCGTCCATTTTGATAAGAGTGTGGGTTGCAAGTTCATTGGCTTTCAATCCCACGAAATGTCGAAAGTTTTTGGCGTGGGATTCGACATCTCGCTTTGAAAGGGGATATGCTATTCGTGCACCAGAGTAAAGGTCCTTTACCACATGGTGTGTCTTAACCCCACCTATCCCCGTTCCAAAATGCTCAGACCCTTTTGCAATGATAACATCATCAGTGGCCAACTGCTCAAAGGGCTGCTTTGGAGGGTCAATCTTATCATCGGACTTGCCGTCCTTAACATGAGAGACACGCATCGCAGTATCCTTAGCAATATGGCATAATGGGCAATATGGATTTTTGGGGTAGTGGGTCAAAAGATGCTCTAAGCTAGTGGCTTCCTTTTTCAAGACTTCATCTTTGATAGGGATACCATCACCTAACTCAACAAGCAACTTATCATCTAAAGGGTGCGGTGGCGCGCTAGGAGCAGCACCTTCCGGAACACTTGCATGTGGGCTGCTGGGTGCAGCTGCATCTTCTGGAGGATCGGCCTCAGCAACCTCAGCCAGTCGTGCGACATCTTCGCCTGCAAAACTAGGTGAATACCCAGAAGCATCATCCGGCAACGGATCAGCCGGGAGAGCTGTGGAAACTGGGGTTAACCTTTCTGCTGGAACAAAGTTACGCGGACTAAGTTGTTCATCATATTGTGGAACATATTCAACAACACGTGAGGCACAAATCCTAGCATTGCGGGGAACCTTAAAT